AACATTGTCATTTGCAACAACATGGATCGATCTTGAGGGTGTTATACTAAGGGGAATACGTCAGATAGAAAAGGGACAAGAACCATATGATTTCACTCACATGTGAGATATAAAACAAAAAGCAACAAGTGAACCAAAAAGAAAGCACCAAACATACCTCATAGCCACAGACAGCAGGGGAGAGGGAACCAGGGGAGAGGGAGGAGAGGGAAAGGGGGTCAAGTACATGGAGGCAGAGGAAACCAGACTGCTTGGTGAGGACACAGTAGAGAATACAGGTGTTTATTATAAAGTCGTACACTTGAAATTTATATAATGTTATTAACCAATGTTACCTCAACAATTTTTAAAACATTTTTATTGATTTTATAGAGGAAGGGAGAGGGAGAGAGAAATAGAAACATCAATGATGAGAGAGAATTATTGATTGGCTCCCTCCTGTACCCGAGGCATATTCCGTGACCAGGAATCAAACCGTGACCTCCTGGTTCAGAGGTGGATGCTCAACCACAGAGCCACACCAGCCAAGGTTACCTCAATAAATGTAATTTTAAAAATGAGTTTGCCAGGCAGAGAGATGAAGAAAGGGTACATGGAAGAGGGACAGTCAGGACAATTGCAGAAAATGCAGTAAGTGTATGTGTTCAGGGAATCCAGCCGGGTCTCTGGTGTCTGGATCAGAGAGGGTGGGAGTGTGTGTATGTGTGTGGGGGCGGGGGCGACCAAGATGTGAGTCTGGAAGGAGAGACAGAGTCAAGATTTCCCTCTGAGCCTGCCCTTCTTTGTGTCTCAAGTTCAAGGTCCAAGGCCTCTTGCACACCTGCCAATGGGTTAGTAATGAGATGGGAGGGAACGGCACCATCCCCTCTCCTAGCACCCAACTTTAAAAGTATGAGCTCTAACCCATATTTTCCAGCTCAGCCATGTTTTCAAGATGAACGGGAAGTGAACAAGAGGAGAGAGAGGGGCAAGCTGGGCACCCTGAGGGCAGAGGCCGAAATCCAGGCCTGCTGGAACCCAGGCGCCAGCTTCTCTGCCTTCACGCCTGTCCCAGGATCCCCTGTCACCCTCCACCTCCCAGACAGAATATATTGGAGGAGGGCTTTGGGAGTCTGAGAGTGAAAGAACGGAGAAGCAGATGAGCAGCAAATACCAAGGATCCCATCAACGGCTTGGATTTAAAAGGAGCAAATTAGCTTTGCACTATGTTTGTAGATTGCCGAGTTTGGGCAGTCAAGCCATATGTACTCAGAAATAGGGTTCCTGTCACTTTAGAATTGTGTTCCTCATCCGTGTGTCCACCACAGAGGAGCAGGCAGTCCTGTGGGGCATGGAGGGATAAGACCCTGGCATTCGTGTTGTGCTGGCGCCAGTGCACGGTCAGGAGAAAGCTCCCCTTCTGTTCGGAATGCCAAGGAGGTGTCCCTCTCTAAGCTGCCCGTGCGTGTGGGATGCTCACTGGGTAAAACATCTGTCCGAACCCTTCAGTTTCTTGGCTCCCGGAGCAACTCCGTGTACAGGGATTTCCCCAGGTCCTTTCTTTAGCATTCATTTCCTTTGGCTTGGATTTCAGAGGCCGAACTCAGTCCCTTAGATAAATATTCAGGCCACTGTTTAAAATAAACCCTCTGTTATTTATTTATCATGTCTGTTATTGAGAAAGCGACAAGAATAAGTCCAAGTGGAAACCATGTGTTCTGTCAGAAGGTAAATCTGCGAGAACCTGCACAGTCCAACGACACAGTGTTTTTAGAGTGAGCCACCCTCAGCACATCCATGGCACAAGAGTGGTTCATGCCAGACACGCCCAGCTCAACAGCCATGTTGTCAAGGCGTACACGCAGGCGTACCCTTGGAGATCTAGGGACTCATTACATTGTGCCTCACCCATGTTTCTCTTTCTTTTTTACCCTTAAACGTGTTTTTTTAAAATTATTATTTATTTATTTCAGAGAGGAAGAAAGAGGAAGAGAGAGATAGAGACATCAATGATGAGAGGGAATCATTAATTGGCTGCCTCCTGCACGCCCCCCACTGGGGACCGAGCCCGCAACCTGGGCATGTGCCCTTCACCAGAATCAAACCCGGGACCCTTCAGTCTGCAGGCTGCCGCTCTAACCACTGAGCAAACCCCGCTAGGGCAAAAGTGTTTTTAACCCAAAGGAACACTCCCTTATAGATTTTATGTTCTATTACATTTACGTTCTTTAAGATTCTACAATGATTTTTTACTAATTAGAGAAAATAGTTTGACTCAGAAAAATAGGACTAAATTCCAGAAAAAAGGGTTGGAGAAAGAAGTGCCTAGGTAGTAAAGGAATTCTTGTCATCCTTCCCCGGGGGCTTGGAAGGTCAGATAAAGCAGTCTAGAGCTGGTTTAGAGGAAAACGAATCATCTTGGGGGGAAACTTCATAGTATTTCTTGACACTGTTTCAGTTTTACGGTCCTGCCTTCTATCTGAAGTTCTAGACCCCAAGTTGAACAAAAATCCTTCTTTGAAAGCACTGTGTACATACATGCGAGTCACCATTAGCACCGTGAATTTAATACTGAATTTAAACCAGACTCTTCAGCACATATGGTGATGCTGAAACAGGTATCATGATGCAATGGTCTCCTGAGTCGCAGAGAAATAGAGCGAGTTGAGTTGTAAGTTAGGTGTCTGTTGCCCTCAGGGAGGCAACCGCTGATGGTCCGATGCTTATGGGAGCATCGGAAAACATAGCGGGCGCGAGGCTGTAACTACATGTACACGATGAAGCGGCTGGTGGTGTCTGATCCTGCTGCGTTGATGTTTACCTCTGAAATACTTATGAAGAATATCATTTCCCAAGAAAACTGGTAAATTTGTTTAGATGTCCAGAAGTCAGAAGCACTCTCATATTTTCCATAAAGTCCCTAAAATCCATTTGGTTATTCTTTTCAATTAACCAGTACATTTCCTTTTTTTTTTTTTTTGATGGAAATACTACTCTAAGAATGCAAAAGTAATAAAACGTATTTGCTAATGCCCACTTTACTTCTGGCTAGGCTTCTATCACACTCGTTTAGGTCTGGCCAACTGGTGGTTATTTCTCATATTTTTGAACAAGTAAGCTTTGTGAGAGTGTTACCAAGTCCTCCTCCAGCTGTCATTTCAAGGAGAGAAGCGAGGAGCCTGTGGTTTATGCCAGCGGTGTTTTAATATGTTTCTTAACTGGAACAGTTAGACTGTTTTGAGGAAACATTTCATTGGTATCAAACAGAAAAGGTCACCTGATCTTTAGTTCAAGGACTTCTCGCACTATCTCCATGGGCAAGTCCTTTTGCTACTTCAACCGCACCATCTCCTGGGCCGGTCATTCTCACCGACGGCTCTCGATTTTCTCATGTTGGGGCTGAGTGCGTTGTTCCCTGGGCCCCAGTCACCTCCCGTGTCAGGACTGCCAACGTGATGCAGGGGAAGCAGGCTGCTCTAGACGTTGCGTTGTTGGCGTCAGCTCTTGGCATTGACGCCAGGTATTTTCAGTGGAAAAGGACGGGCCTGGCCTGGGGACCCAGCTCCTCTGTTCCCGTGGCTGTGTGACCAGGGGCAGGTGATCGAGCCATTTCAATCCCTAGTTTTCTCTCTCCGGTTTGGAAGTAGTACCTGTCCATCGGGCACGGAAGCTGTGAGGAAGACATGAGATCACATGGGTTAAGCGCCTGGCTTTAATAACCAACCATTATTTTATCGTCCGAAACGTGTTCCGTTTGGCTTGCTGATAGCTTTCTGTACTGAAACGAAACTTGAACGCTTCTTCCCAAACATTATCTGTGATGACCCACATTCCATTTCTGGGCATCATGCTCCTGAGTCCATCCAAAGCTGCTGGGTGCTCGCAGCGCTGGGCCCCGAGCGCTCCCGGGTCCGACCAGCATCGCTCCCACTCTCCCTTGTTTTGTGTGTTTTTGACGCGAGGGTCAGCGTCCTCCTGCGCTGCTGTTTCTTGGAAAATTCTCGTGGATTCGTGTCAACCCTGTTGTCCTTAGCAAGTCACATGTTGAGCTTTTACCGCATGTCCTTACGTTATTTTCTTCCATCTCCCTCCTCTTGCCTCCTGCCTCTGACCCGAGCCTTCCTTCTGCCAGTCGCCATAGTGCTTCCTCACTGTGATTTTCCCAGTAACTCCTTCCCCCTCGTGTGCACAGGGCCGGTCCACACTGCACCCCTGCAGAGCCCCCCCCCCCGGCCCCCCGTGTTAACCCTCGTCCCTCCGGTGGGAGGGGTGAGGACAGAAAGACGTGCTCTAGCTCTCCCAGGTGTCAGAGGGCAGGCGGGGAGTGTGGGCCGTGGGTCAGCCGTGCCAGCCAGGCAGTGGTTTTTCTGAAAAGCAGACTTTTCTAAGGAGCGGTCTGTAGAGTGAGCATCAGGGAAGCTTGACTCGGGGACAAATGGCCAATCCTGTTGTCCTCTGCCCAGGGTTCCATGTTCTTGGAAATCATCATCTTCACTTGACAGCTGGCACTTTGGATTTCATTTTTCTTCTCGTGCCACGTAACTTGGCCCCTAGGAGGGATGCACATGCCGTAGGAGGCCAGGGACTCTGTCGAAGGAGGGATGGAGGAATTATACTGCCTCCAAGGTTCATGGATTTAACGCACTTCCATGAATTTGGGTTGTTTCTTCACAATACTGCGCGTGGCCTCGTCTCCATGCTCAGAACTGCAGAGTCTCTACTGACCCCCGACTCTTGAGGGAGACGTTGTGTTCCTTTCTGTGTCCATACAAGGGCCCTGTGACATGGGGATCATCATCAGTCAGGGGGTCAGAAAACGGAGGCCTGGCAAAGTGGGACTGTGGCCTCACAGCTATTAAATGATCCCTTGTTTCAAAGGTAGTGGCTCTCCTTTGCACTGCGCTCTTTTGTGTTATTTTAGGAATCCGTGTTCAGCTGGAGAAAAACTCCCGGTTAATGACAGTGGATATAAAATAAAAGGAATTCAAATTAGTAATATCCTTCTCTCTGTGTGTTTCCAGTTTGTGCCAAGCAGGTGCCCGACGAAGCATCTTGTACTCGGGATCCCAGTCTTCCTAACACGGCCGTGCCAAGCAAGCTGGTGTCTTCCTTCCAGCAACACACCAAGAAGGCTCTGAAGCAGGTGAGCCGGCGGCCTCGGGCCTCCGTCCTGTGCTTCTGCCCACGGAAGGCCACGCGTCTTGTGTGGAGAAAGTAAAATAAATAAGAACATAGCAGCCAGAAGGCAATACACATGCCCGAATCCAACCCCTTCCGTAGTATTTAGTGCAGTCATTTCAATCTAGGCCCAAAGCTGCGAGAGGCTTGTTTGAGCACTTTGATGTAAAAGAGAAGAGGGAAAATGTGCCTGGAAACATATAAAAACTTGTATGAAGGCTTTTGTGAGTGTGATTCATAGTAAGCATGTTGGGTTCATCAACGCATTGCATGTTTTGAAAATAGCGTCTCTGTGTATTGTCTCATGTTTATCTGAAAGTTGACGTCAACAATAAACAGGCTGGCCGGACGTGGCTCAGTGGTTGAGCATCGACCTGTGAACCAGAAGGTCACGGTTCGATTTCCTGGTCAGGGCACATGCCCACATGGTGGGCTCCATCCCCAGTGGGGGCCATGCAGGAGGCAGCGGATCAATGATTCTCTCTCATCACTGATGTTTCTCTCTCTCCCTCTCCCTTCCTCTCTGAAATCAATGAAAATATATATTAAAAAAATCGCAGATAGTTTCCTTCTCATTACTGAGATGCATTAAGTTACAAATGAGGAAAACAGTAATTGTGGCTTGCTCGCATGTAGAATATGCGTCTTCAGTGAGCGTGGTTTGGTGCTGAATGGAGCTACCTTGGCATATCGTCCTGGTATCACATCAGCAATCTTGACTTGTGTGTCCTTGTCCAGAGATAGTGGTGAGAGGTGATGGCTACAAGGTCTGACATATTCTGGTTTCAATGTTTGCTATTCTGTGTGACTCCGGGCAAGCCACTTGTATTCTCCGCCTCTCAAATTCTATTTCTAGAAAATGTGGGGATGATCTGAGGACTGAGCGAGGTGGTTCACTAGCAGCACGTGGTCAAGTGAGTGTCTGGCCCACAGTAATCACTCAGTAAGTGTCAGCCACAGCGGTCACACCGCCCCTGCTCCACTGTGCAGGGAAGGGAAGGAAGGATGCTGTGGTTAGATGGGGACCTTGTGCGATGCTCATCCTAAGGATGTTACTGAGCGGAAGGCTCACATGTTTAACCCTGAATTCCTGGTTTTCCCCTGGGTGACGGCTTTACTCGGACATTTTTATTTGGATCCTTGAATGACGCCCTCTTCCACCTCACCTCTTGCTGACCCTTACCAAGTCTGGTGTCATTCTAGGGATACAGTATTTATGACAAGGAAAGAGATACCATGTTTGTAAATAAAGTTCAGCATTTCTTTAAAAGCTCCATCAATCATTTCTTTAAAAGTTCAGTCAATCTCTGGAGCTTCTTATATTCACATCCAATCTCCTAGGTTTAGACGGTCTCCGCCTACTTTTCCTCTACTTCAAACAAAGCAACTTAATACTGTTGTACTGAATTATATTACCTTTTATTCTATATGAATTATTGAAATTTGAAGTATTTCCATTCATTGGGATTATATCGATGGTAGTAACATAGGTCAAATAATCTTGCCATTTATATCCTTGCTCTTGGGAAATGGTTTAGACGCCAAAGAACAAAGTTGAATTTAGTGTTGAGGTCCCTTGTGATGAGGCTGAAATAAAGGGTGGGTGATGGTAGGGAAACCTAGGAAGGGCTTATTCAGGTAATAAAATGCTGACCAGGACAGAGCAAAAGACACTAAACTGGGTGCTGGTAGTCGTAGCATCTAAGAAACATAGATGCAATCGTAAATGAAACTCATGCTTCCGGGGAGCGGTGATTGAGAAAATGTGCACCCCGTGAAGCCTTCCTGTGTGCGAATGGAGACATGAAAACTCACATCTCTGCATTGTCAGGTCTCATTGCTTTTCACTCCCTTCATTTTGGTTTCATATCATCTGAACATTTTTTACAATGACTCAAATATCGCACAGCTCTGAGTTAGTGGTTTTTTGTGTTATTTTATTGCAGAGCACGTGTTCATGGGAAGTGACACTTGCTTGCTCAGGCTCTAAGCCTTGTCTTAAGAAAATCTATTGTGAAAACTTCTGAATGTCCAGAAAGAGCTATTTATCCATGCCTTAAAATGTCCTATTGCATAACCAAGTAACAAATGAGTCACCAGGGGAATATGGCCCGCTGTATAGCAGCTATGCTAATGTTTGATTAATAATCAAATTCCTATCGGAAATACATTTAGAAGAAAAGCTGTTCTTGCAGAATGTTGCTCAGATTCCCTGTAATTGCTGAATTTCTTCAGGCAGCATTTCACAAGTTGACTGAACACGAGGCTTTGTAAATTATAGCAGCTCAGCGTGTACGCAGCTCACCTTTCTTTTGGAGAGTTGACTGGCCCTAGAGAAGTGGTGTAAGTGCATATGTTATATGTCCATAGATATCCAATATTTGTGTTCTGTGTTTGCGAATGTATGTTTTGTGTATATATTTATATGCACAAGTCATCATTTCATGAATGTAGGGCCAGCCGAATGACCCTCATAATCGCATCAGCCGACATTTACTTTTCTGAATCCTAGACATTGTGCTTTGCATTCCACATGCACTGTGCCGTTTAATCCTCATGCAAGTCCTTAAAAGCAGGGACCAGCATCCCCATTTTTCAAATGAGGAAACTAAGGTCCAGAGACGTTAGGTAACTTGCTTAAGATCGTCCAGTGAGTAAATCTTGGTGATGACATTTCAGCCCAGAATCATCATTTCAGATACTGCCCCCTTAGTGCATACTGCCTTTTGGCATCTATATATATAAAATAGAGAAATATGCTAATTAACCGGGACCCCGTAACGGGTCAACCGGACAGGAGGAGGTTCCTTGCGCAGAGTCGGGGGCAGGGCGGCAGGGGCCTCCGCACGCCTGCGCTGAAGGAGGGCCTGATCAGCAGCGGCCTCGGCTGCTTCAAGGGCGGGAAAAAACACCACCACCAAAATCCAGTAGCTTTACACTCATAAATGTAAGTGAATCATAATAATGTAAAGCAAATATCCCCACAAAATAAGCCAGATAGAGTTCCCAGTCCTGAGCCCACGCCGCCACCCCAGTGTGAAGTTGTAGCTGTGGAGGGTGGGTTTTTACTGGGCAGTACTGTGGACGGCAGTGTGTCTATAGGCCGGTACTTACAGGGCCATATACCCCTTGGCTACTGACATCGATCATTCTCCCTGTTCCTAAATACTTGGGACCCTTCTACTTCCTAATTATGGAACTGTTAGTTAGCATCGCATGTTGGGTGTAATCGCATGAATAATGAAGAAAGGGTAATGAAGAAAGATTAAGCTTTGGAAGTTTATAAACAGAATCAAAGGAAAGCTTGAAGTAGGATGAGGTCTGCTATGGGAGGTAACCTGGTGGCTCCCCCAGGTTTGGCTCCCGGCATTATTTAGGGTGTAGGATTTATTCATAAAGTTGCACAGCCTGTTTCCCTCTTCACACCCCAAAGCAGATATAATGTTGGCATTTTGCTTTAGCTTTGTATATTTGACCAATACTGCGAAATTCCAAAGGTTATGTTGCCTGATAGCAGTTTCTAACATTTAGCACACTAGCAACAATGCAAGTTGTTGGTGCCTGACCCAGCCAGCTGTTTCGTGTGTGTGTGTGTGTGTGTGTGTGTGTGTGTGTGTGTGTGTGCAGTGATTTTAGCATTTGCAGCATGTGGTACTTTGAATTTCAGGGAAGGGCTTATTACATTCAGTGCATTCTTAAGTTACATTGTCGGTGTTGTTTTTCAACTAAAATAAAGCAGGCGTTACTTGTTTATGCAAATCCAAGCTAATACAAGAGCCTCTGGCTTTAGGTTTTATTTTTCATTCGAGGGGAAATGAGAACTGTGTCATGTTTGCATAGTTATCTGACAGGCTTTCTGTTTACCAATTTAAATGTTTATCTCAAGCAAGCATGTCAGACTCGCGGCCCACGGGCCACATGCCTCATTTATTTGGCTTGTGTTAGCCTTTGAGTTTGACATGCTTGATCTAAAGGGTTTCATGTCTCTTTTTTCAATTGAACTTATTGGAGGTGACATTGATTAATAAAACTATGTGGGTTTCAGGTATACAGTTCTACATCATCTGTATTATCTCTTGTTATAAGAGAATATTGGGGTGCACCTCTAGAGAAAAGCATGCCGAGTCAGCACCTTCTGGTTTCTTTCTTTCCACATCGATCTAAAACTGTAACTAATGTCTGGTGGGGTCTTTCCTTTTCCTAGACTGGTTGAGCTCTGTTATGTGTCCTTGAAATAGTACGTTTATTTCCAAGTTATGGCCTGTAAATGTCTCTCATATGGACTAGTACCTGAAAGCATTTGACTTGGCAAGTCCAATAGACTCTGTAGTTTGGACGTAAGAACATTTACATGTGGGCAGCATGGTAGACTGCATTTATGCTTGCCATCTGCTTGTTTATTTAGGTTTTGATGCTGCTTCTTTCTGGGTTTGAAATTACAGGATTTAAAGTTGTTAAATAAGCTCTCCATTAGCATGTCAGTGGAGAGCTCAGGCTTGGGTAGTTGGGGTGCCTTGGGGATATCATTCCCCTAAAATGCATCTAGACTAATATAATAAGTAGCATGAGTGTCAAATAGAAGGGTATGCAGGTGGACCAGCAGGCCCCCGGGCTAATTGAGACCCTTGGTGTGGAATAGAAAAAGCCCGCATCGCAGCCCCAAGTCGTCACCACCACAAAAATATTTCCCCTTCATGGTACCCCGTGCAGAGCTAACCTTCCAGGACCCGCTAAAGTGGCCTTCCTCATCCTACTTTCTTAATCTATTACATGGATTTCCAGGCTGTGGGATACCTAAACTTAGATGATTACAAGTTAAATTGCATTTAACTTCTGTTATATTTGTAATAATATAAAATAGAAACTTTTGTTCTGGGAATTGTAGCTAAAGCTCAAAGTTGAGGACAGTGGGATACAAGGGTACCTTGCTGTGAAGAGAGGTGCAGAGGCCTTACTGAGAGAAGGCATTGGCTGCTGACCGCCCCTGCAGCCTGTATGCAAACAGCCTGAATGCAGACAGCCTGAATACAATAGCCTGTTGCAAACAGTCTGAATGCAACAGCCTGAATACAAACAGCCTGAATACAAACAGCCTTTATACAAACAGCCTTTATACAGCCTGAATACAAACAGCCTTTATACAAACAGCCTGAATACAAACAGCCTTTATACGAACAGCCTGTATACAAACAGCCTGAATACAACAGCCTAAATGCAAACAGCCTGAAAACAAACAGCCTAAATGCAAACAACCTGAATGCAAACAGCCTGAATAAAACAGCCTGAATGCAAACACCTCTGTGCATTTTCTATTTATACATCTTAGCAGCACTGTGTCTGTTTCACAGGGACATGTACCAGGTAATTTACTCAGCATTGCTCTGCTCGCGCACTCTTTCTCTGACTCTACACCTCGCCATTAACTACGGCACCCCACAGTCTTTTTTAAAAATATATTTTTATTGATATCAGAGAGGAAGGGCGAGATAGAAATATCACTGATGAGAAAGAATCACTGATTGACTGCATCCTGCACGTGCCATAATGGGGATTGAACCTGCAAATCCAGCATGTGCCTTGGCCAGGAGTTGAACCATGATCTCCTGGTGCATAGGCTGACGCTCAACCACTGAGCCACCCCAGCCAGGTATGGCACCCCACAGTCTTAACCAGGGCTCTGCACCCACAGTCTTAACCACCACACCCCACAGTCATCACCAGGACTCTGCAGCAGCCCGTCCTCAACCAGGAATGGGGTTACTACCTCCCTTGGGCATGGTCAGACTCATTTATTGGATGAGGTGAGGAGCATTGTTAATGGTGTCAAAGATCGGTGCCCTCAGGCTCACTGAGGCTCAGAACCATCTCTGTTTTGTCTGGCACATTGTTCAAAACAGGAAAACTCCCCTAAACATCCTGAAAGTCCAGTTGTGTTGGTTCCCTGAGCAGGTGCTGGCCCCTCCAGTGGGGTGTGTATCCCCACTCACTTCAGCCTCCCCTCTGTCACCGGTGTGGTCCAAACAGCACTGCACATTTTTTCAAGGAATTGTGAGGACACAAGCAGCCTCTATGTGTGAGTTGCAGAAACATGGTTATATAACTCCCCACCCCCCAAAACACACACAGAAAACCAAAACCATGACTAGCTAGCTTCTTCACTTGCAGGATCTGTCCAAGAGACCGGCAATGTAAGACACACATTAATATGTATCATAATGCGAGGCCGGATTCACTACACGGCCTGCCTGGTGGACATGACAAACGCCAGAGTTCTCTGGTCGGAGCCCGCCCAGACTATCCTGAACATCTCATTGGGGTCCGCATTGCTTCCCCCATCCTTCCACACCCGATCTGCATGGAGGAGTCCTCTGTGTCCTGGTCCAATAAACCCCACTTGCTGGGAAGGGAACTGGACTCTTCCATGAGCCCAGCACCGCTCAGCCTACGATGAGGCGGATCTTGTGAATGTGGCCAGGATGCCCCTTCCTGTAGCTGAGCCCAGGTGCCCCTCAGTTTACCTGGGAGCCTGCTGTCCACTGTGACACTCCCCAATTGTTGCTTATTTGCCCCTAGAAAAGTTCATCGGGGTCCAACATAATGCTCATGTTTTAGAGGTAAAATGTTATATTAAGGCCCGGCCAGCGTGGCTCTGTGATTGAACGTCGACCTATGGATGAGGAGGTCATGGTTCGATTCCCAGTCAGGGCACATGCCCAGGTTGCGGGCTTGATAGCCAGTGGGGGTTGTGCAGGAGGCAGCCGATCAATGATTCTCTCTCATCATTGATGTTTCTAGCTTTCTCTCACTCCTCTTCCCCTCTGAAATAAATAAAAATATATTTTTCTAAAATGTTATATTAAGAAATATTGTTTAAATTTCTGAGTAGGAAATACATGTTCATAAAGAAAATCATTGAAATAAGCACAATATTGATTAGCATTATTTTATCCCTACCTGGTTCCACCATGACTCTTTAAAATTAAAAATAGCTGTAGGTTTGGTTTTTAAAAAAAGGTTTTGTTTTTGGTCAATTTTCACCCAAGCATATTTTTTTCCACTTATTTTTTTATGAGGGAGGGGAAGGGATGGAAGGAGAGAAACATCAATGTGAGAGAGACTCTGACTGGGGCTGGATAGCAAACCTGCAACCCAGGTACGTGCCGTGCCCTTGACCAGGAATCGAACCAAAACCCGAGACCCTTCAGTGCACACACCAACGCTCTAGCCACTGAGCTTACCGGCCAGGGCAGCTAAGGGTTTTCATTGTTTTTATACTATTATTGCTGTCATGGTTTCTTCTGATCCAACTACTAATTTTCCTATAATAGAGTCTTCTCAGCTCTAAAAATTGAGGGTGGAATTTTTATTACTTTAATTATTACCACCAGATGCTGTGAAAAGGCAGGCCATCTTTGACTTTATGATTCAGGCTGATGGGCCTCTTTGTATTTTATCTCTTTCTCTCTTTTTTTCTAACCAATATTTTCCAAAATACACCTGACATCAAATGAATATTTTTTAAATGCCTATTTGAACTGCCAAGGGAAACAGTTTAAATCTATGATGTAGAGCCTCCTAAAAACCTGTCACTCTTTGTAGATTTTATTGTTTTGTGGGTGTCTTACATAGTGGGCAAAGATGGACTTAATTGTAATGGAAAGCACTGTGTTGCCTCATTCTGTTTTTTTTATTGGATTGATGGTTTAATGTCCATAAATTGCTTTGTGTTCGTACATAAGGCTAGAGAGAGTTATGTATACACCTTGATGAAAAAGAGCAAATGTCTTAAATATTTTATAGCACATGTGCTCTCATTAAATATATTATTGAGACGCCTGGCCGCCATGGTTCAGTGGTTGAGCATCAACCTATGAACCAGGAGGTCATGATTTGATTCCCAGTCAGGGTACATGCCCAAGTTGTGGGCTCAATTCTCAGTGGGGTAGGGGGTGCAGGAGGCAGCCAATCAGTGATTCTCTCATCATTGATGTTTCTATCTCTCTCTCCTTCTTCTTTCCTCTCCAAAATCAATAAGAAACTTTTAAGTAAAAAAAAAA